ATTTCATAGAAGCATACAATACTTTTATATTCATAGATTATTTATTTTTATTTATTTGTTTGTATATATTTATGTATTGTGAAAATGCAATCCTGCATCATGTGAATGATTTTTCTCTGCAGTTCTCTGTTTATGGTCCTTTACTGCCATGCTGAGATATTGGCGTGGATGGAACATTGTTGCCATGGTATCTGTTACCATATTGCCATGGTTCCACGGGAGAAGGGGGCGGCGATAACCCTGGGAGCTCATTATCACCATGTGGTTGATGAGCTGTGCCATGCCCCATCCTGTATCTTATTTTATTACTGTGTGAGTGTGTGTTTTATATATATTTTATATTCCATTATAACACAACCTTCGTGTGGCAATAACACACCTGTCATTCTGATACAATATCTGCTCCATACATACAAGCTCTGTATTGTGGGTTCGCTGAATCCCCTTTAAAAAAAACCTTAAATCAGGTGAATATGACACAATTTATTTGATGTCTCTATGAATGGATACCACTTTCACTTTCTGAATTTTCAGTTTACTTCCATATATTACTGTATTTTCTTTAGGGATACATGTATTAATGCATAGAACTGTAACTGTGTTAAGTAGTTACTGTACTTACTACATAATGTGCCTTAGGTGTGAGCTCACAGGGCCCTCTCTGATCGAGCTAAAACCTGCAAAGCCTTGTGTCATTATTCAAAAACAATAAAAAAATAACCAACCTAATACGTCACGTCAAATGTATATTGTTCAGTTAGATCTTTATGTATTTAATAAATCATGACCACATACAGAGCTTCTGTCCAGCTTGGCACCCCATGTACTGTATGGTATATTACCCATTTATTGCCCCAAAATTGCCATATTGATAGGGTCCCTATCATTCAGTGACTACCGTATTCTTCTTTATAAATAGGGCAATCATAATGGGGATATTTGGAAGTGGATCTAGTTTGGGTGAATATGCAGGTCATTTCTTGCATTTTATTTGAAGTATTCTTTTAGGAATTTCTTCAATAAATAATGATTTGTGGCTTACTATCTATTTAAGCTAAAATGACTATGTTGAGGATTTTTCAAAAGTCATTCGACAACTTATCCCAAAGAGGTGTGTAGTCATCACCCACATTGCTAAATGCAGGGCAAACCTTAGTTCCTCAAAGCAAAGTACACAGTGCATTTTTTTTTTTTTTTTTACTAAATACTTCCATAGTCCAATATGGTGACATCTTTATTGGTAAATTACATTCCCATGAATGATATGTTTATAATTTTCCCATGAATGATCTCTTATATCTTTATACTTTTATTCATGCACATAGCTTGTATGTGTTTTTACATTTGTGTAATTGTATAGAGTGAAGATCTTTATTATTGACACCGAAGTCTCATTATTCATGTTAAATATCCATATTACAGATAATTTAGTTCTCATCAGTTAGATGCTCTTTTGATTTCTCTGGGTGTATTGCAGTAGATCACTTGAATTGCAGTGTGAACTATTACCTTGCATGACAAGATAATAATCATTGTTACTAAGGGTACTTCAGATGTTTGTGAACTACAATACCCATGATGCTTGGCATCAAGGCAAATGTAGTCTACAAAGATCAGCAGTACCAGACTGTGGCATGACTAGAACCTACAAGTAATGTGTGATTTATTTAATTTCACAGTCATTTTTTAAAGCTATTAAAACATTGAATTCAAGCTGGACACTCAAAGTCCACAATAGAGTCTTAATGCCTTTAGAAATATCAAGTCTCAAGTCTAAGGTAACAATTCCATTCGCTAACATTTGCTAAATTAATTTCTTAAAGGCGCCGTGTAGGCATTAAGGCAATTCTACAAAATATCAATCCAAACTCTGAGTTCACTTTAAATAAATACTTATTCACTGTCATATCAGTAACACAAATCTTACAACCTGCAGTCTCCTCACAGCTTCTAGATATGGTGTGGCTTTGTTGCTTTTTCATGTACAGAAAACCCTCCAAGATTTCGTTTTATAGTGATGTTATTGTCAATATATTTATCACCGTTGCTAAATTCATTCATTTGTAGTGGATGCTTGCAAGTTGGCTCTAATGTGAATAATATATATGATATTAATATCTCAAAGAAAACTTTAGAAAAGTCACTCTTTCATCTATATTTCACATTTTTTTTTTTTAAAAACAAACATAATTTTATATATTTACAAACCTGAAGTAAATTGTCTGTTGCTAAAAACATTCATTTTATTTCAACTCAAACAATTGTTCATTATTAACAAATTACAAGGGACTTGTTTAAAAATGTTATGAGTTATAAAAAAAAGAAAGATATCTTATAAAATAAGATAAAAATGCAGAGATCACAGTGTAAAACTGAAATAGATGGTCTAGTTTCAAATTAAAAATCTATTTACACATGAAATATTTTTTGTTCATAGGACTCCAAACCTTGTTAGATAAGAGTCCTAAAGATGAAAGGTTGCAGAATGTATTCTATGCCATGTTATTATGCATTGTGAACTGGTCTTTAAACATCCTGGTGTTGGGCATCATGTAGTAATTTGTAGATATTCAATGAAGAAAAAAGAAAAAGGATTGGGGGAGGGAGAGAAAGTGAAGAAAAAAAATAAATCAAGCTAATTAAATTATTGTATTGTATGTGTATTGTATTGGCGAACATGAGACGATCTGGTGTATTTAAGCTGCATGTTGTTGTTTTTTTGGTCTTTTGTTTTTGTGAGATGTTTTGGGTGAATATGTTATCAGTGGGGAAAGTTTAACCTGAGCATTATGGGAAATGTAGTGCATGGTAGGTGGAGTGTTAAAGATTGGCATTGGTGCTTCATTGCTAAGCATTTGAATAGACTCCATAGAATATCATTGCATTTATTCAGTAAAAGCTACAAATTATGATCAATGGCATAATTTATGGGATAAATCCCCTTCCTGATCTGCTTGCTGGTTTAAGGTGTAATGCATATTTTAAAATCATCAACCATATAATACCCCCACCTCCCCCCCCTCCCGCCCCCCCCGGGCATTTTATCATTGTAAACACAGTTTTCTGCCAACTACCCCCCACTCCTCTTCTAAACATGCATTTTATTCACCCACAATATAAAACATGGCATGAAAAACTGTCTCACAACAAGCATAGCGATGTTTTTTTTTTACAGGGGAATTGAAAGGGCTAAGCAAGATGTTTTGAAATATAGATTTTGTTAATTGATTTCGACACCTACCAGATTTTCTTTTATTTAATTTCCCCATTTATTTTCCCTCCCCATTTTCCCAGTGATGTAATTCGTGAGACTTTTCATTGTCAGATATGTGCCACCTGTTCAATAATAGGTACCAGCCTTAGAATCTGTAGTAAAACAAAAAAAGGAATTTCATTTCAGTCACTGTTATTCAATGCAGTCCTTGTGTATTATTCAATGGCTTTCTGTTTTTTACAGACATATTAAACAAAAAAGCCACAGTAGACAAAACACTTAAATTAATAGAACGAATTAACTAAAATATAATTAAGAAACGAAAATAAAAATATTGTAAAAATATTTATAGTATAAAAATCATCTGTATCTCGTGGCAAGAAATGAATGCCCTTTGTTACTTGGATACTGGGGAATTAAAAAAAAAAACTAAAAAAAAACTAAGGTCTAATATATATATTTTTATGAGTTAAGAATAATTCATTTTTAAAATAAAAAAGAAAGTACCAAGGCACACTCATTCATAAAACTGATCTGATAGTAGTTATCATTATTCGTTTTAGGAAGTAAAGAAATAAGAAATGTTGCTTAAAATAACCGACTTGTAACAAATCTCCAACATCAGAAATTAAAAACGGTTTTCAAACACAAACTATTCACTAAAATGAGAATCCAAAGTGAATTTGAAATTTAAGGCCAGAATAGCTGACTGTTTCAGATCATTTTTTCTATTTAGCTATTTGACCTTAAACTTGAAATTCACTTGAAATTCTCACTTTAGTAAATAACGTGGAGAATATTGCAAATAAGCAGTTAGCTCATCACAATTCGCCAAGTAATATCAAATTAAACATTGTGGCTCTTTATTAGTTAAGTAACTTTTGTTTAATTTCTGTATTAACTTATTCCCTACTAGGCTATGTTTTATTTATTGTAATATGCTTGCTTTAGCATTTTAAATCTCCATTGCATGTTGGAGCTTTTAACTTTTTAACAGAACACCAGTTCATCGTGAACGTGTTTCATAAAATTGAATTGCAGTCATAAATATATGCTTTCCACAAATCCTTCTAAAATTTCTATCCCACTTTTTAAAAGTTATTATTATTATTTTTTTTTATCATTGCACAGTCATATAATATGTGCTGATAAATCATGCTTGTCTTAACAAATGTTATGTATGAATTACATCAATGGTATGCAACAGTGCTGTTCTGGGCTAAAACAATCATTTTATTATTTTATTTAATCATCCCACGCTTTGCTAATATATATTAGATAGTTGGGAACATAAGCCATTTTAATAATGCCAATTATATTTTAGAGCTTTAGAGATGTTTTTTTCCGTAGCAGGTATTAATTCACTGTATTTCTATTTAAAAAAAAATGTTCTTATTTTTTTCCTTTTCTACAGGCTCCATCAAGGCTTATATTTTTTAGATGAACACCATTGCAGAATCAAGGCATATTATACTATTTTACTCTTACTGAGTTTTTACCCTCTTGTATCCAGATTGTAAAGCACCCGGGTAAGAGATCCCTCAATGTTTAGGCGAGGCAAACCCTTTATACAGGAGTGAGGAAACCCAGCGCCGAAACGTTGTAGGAACTCAATATATTGGTTGCAGTACCTCGTGTTATGGTTAATTGCCTGCTATCTTAATGCAACTATTTTAATATTCGACTGTATTTCGTAGATATGTTTTTTTCTTCCTATAAATACTTTGTTGCAATTACATCAGTACTAATGCTACATATCTTACATGTGGCAATTTATATATAATTCACCAAGGCACAGAGAGAAACATGTCTGATGAACATGGTGAACATGGGTGGATTGTACAAATAATGGAAACACAAAAAAATGTAGTGGATGCACTGATTAGCCACCCAAAAGATCTGGTCCAAAAAATAGAGCAGTGGATTTACAGGTTACTTAGTGTAAAAAAAAAAAAAAATAGGACTGTATATAATTTATTTTATTTCTAATTAAAATAAAATAAAAAATGAATTAGCCAACACCGAAAATATTACCTCAAATGCATTTAAAGGTACACAAATAAAATAATATCAAATAATTTAAGCAGTATAGATTTTGATAAACAATTATTCAGATACATTAAAACTTAAATACAAGTTACATTGTGAGTGATCATTTCTATTTTATGATCAGTTCTTTACTCTATTATTGAATCCATATTTAGATGATGTGAAATCGAATTGACCAGTTATGTTTTAGGATACACTGGGAAGGGGTGAGTGGGCACTGGGATAGCCCAGGGAATACAGGCTGAGCAGAATACCACCATGGCAATCAGACCTAGGCATTGCTAGTGTAGTGAGTGTGTATGTGCATTAGTGCTGGTATGTTCCCAGTGAATTGACCCTTTACAGCTTTGCTGAGCTCAGACTAAAAATGATTTTCTGCATTTTATGCGAAGAGACCAACTGAAAGGCAGGGGTGCAGGGGTGGTTTCCATCTGTGGCAGTGAGCTGTCTATATAATGGGGAGCTATTATCAGCAAGACACAAGTGCTAATTACCAGTCACAGCTATAGGGGAGGGGGCTGGGCACTGAGAGACGAATAATAGTGGTGGGAATGGAAAGGACAGAGAGATAAATAAAATGCACCCTAAAATTAAGAGAAAAGTCAACAGTTATCATGGTAGGTGGAGGGGGAGGACAGTAAGAAAACAATGCTGCAAAAAATAAAAATAAAATGTTTAATATTTAGATTATTTTTTTCTTGAAACACAACACTGTAATTAAATGTAATGTAAATATCACTGATGACATATACACAATAAATAGGGTTCTCATTGTACTGGGAATTTTCTGTGAATGTATTTTCTGTTTAAAATGTATATACATGTTTAGGCATATGGAAGAATAGAGAACCTTACATTTATTGAAGCATTTTGAAAAATCTTATTTTAACATTTTGCTCTGAAGTTACAAAGTAAACACATCATTATTATTGCTAGGCATGGTTAACGTTGTGATTGCATTATATGAACTTTGTTTTGTGGATTTATAAGTGTAAATTATGGCACATTGAGGGAGAAAAAAAAATCAGATTGCAGCTTCATTAAGGCATTGGAGGAACAATGAAATCACAGGCACATTAGCCCACCTGAGCTTAAAGAAACTCTTCTAGAGTGTTATTTACTAAGCTTCGAATTGCTGCGAATTAGTTCAAATGGTTAAATCCTTGCAAAAAGTATAATATGAAGATTTTCTGCAAATCAGCCATAGACACAGTTTAGCAAAGTTAGTCTTAAATGTGCCATGCGAAGTTTAGTTAATAAACACGTGTGTAGTTAAACCATGAATTAGATCCCAGCTTGGTGTAGTGGCAGTCAGGGTGCTGTCCAGTGTGATGGTGCTGAAATGTACTGCGATTTGTTTAAATTCACTGCATTGCTTTGTCAACAGTTAAGATCCATTGAAATATTATATGACCGCTTTTAGCAAAGACATTTTAACGAATGACACTTTCAGATTCAATAATGGTGCTTTTTTGTGAATATACCTGGACAGTAATCAAAATAAAAAATTTCACACAAAGAGTTGAATCCAGTCTGTTTAAATGTGGTTCAAATTCCCTGTACGAAATTTTATTCCCATATGTGACACAAACAAAATAAAAATTCTAAGAATCTAAAAATAACTTTTAACTTAAATGTATGTATTTTATTGTATTGCATAATTATTTTGTTACCATTCGTCTTGTTTTATAAAGTTCTACAATAAAATCAAAAACCGTGTTTGTGTTTTTGCTTAATGTGTCTGAAGCTATTGCACGAAGGGTATCTTTCTCATCAGTTTAATCTCTAAACTGAAACTAATTAAAATGTGTTTTACACTGCTCTGTATAATTACAGTACTCTATATATCATTCTTTACGGTAGACTTTTCTGAGTCTCAATTTATTCATATATAAATCAAATGAGCAGATACTAGAAAGTCACATATTCTAACATATAAAGTTCTATAAATCTATATAATTAATTTGACTCATATTCATTTCGTACTGTCAAATTGTGCATGATTAATACTTATAGGAGTGTACTAAATAGTGCTGTTATAATGAAATTACACACACACACACACACACACACACACACACACACACACACACACACAAACACACATTAGCATCTTTTCAAAGTACTGTCACACAGTATCAAAACCATTATAACAAGATGCTACTGTATAAATTCTTCTTGAAACATGTGTCAATGGAAGTAAGGAATTTAAAGAGGGAGTTCTAATTATTTTGACTCTGCTTATTTATCCATCGAAGAACACATTACTCCACAAAGCTCTAATTTAACATTTAATATCATATTGTTTTTTTTGTTGGTTTTTTTGTTGTTGCAAAAACTGATTTTTATGAAATGCTTTGTTTCTTGCAGACTTATTTATCTCTACCTATATAATCAAAATAAAATATTTCACATTGTTAGATCTCAGTTGGTTAAACAGATCCCTTTTTGGTGGATTGGTTCAAATATTTGAAGGATGTGATGTCAGAAAATGAAGAACCTGCTTTTAATGTATATTTATAGCTTATTCTACCAATGGTGAGGTATGTTGAAATGTGAATCACGTTGAAAACTATAAACTAAACTTTTCTTAGCCTCAGTGTTCCAAGTTAGTTATCAGTTCATCACAACATGCTGGTATATGGTAAAAAAAAAATCCAATCTAGTTTTTATCTCTCTTTATTCAAAACATAAATTGTAAAAACAGGTATGCACTATCTAACATGTAGTGTACCAAAGTTTGGAATCTCATATCTACCTGGTTTCCAGCATGTATTTTAGCTTATTCTCTAAAGGGTTAATCTCATTCATTTAGCAGGTAGCTTGAAGAATATTCAAATAAAAAACAACACAGGGAAAAATCCCTATAGCAGCATACGTTCTAAATCTGATTGGAGGAAATAAAACCATATTCATATAATGTTACATTTGATTGGTTAAGATGTCTTATGACTTAGTTAAAGTTATTGAATGCACCCTGTCATTGCTGGAGAATAGGAATCTTAGTAATGGTGAACAGAAGGTGTTGTCACTATGTACCAGAAGAGCTGGAGTTGCCTCTGGTGGCAACATTATCTTTTAGAACAATATGGATTGGGCATTCCTAGTGAACTCTATCTGTGGGGAGCTGGCACAGTAAAGAGTCAATGTATTGGAGACCCATACAGTAATAAGGGGGGTATAATTAAGGTTTCACACACTCCTTACTAAAGTATACTCACAGTCCACAAAATGGAGTAAGATATGCCCAACTGCCATGTTTCCTAATCTATGTATGTGTTTATTGCATCTTTAATAGAATTTATTCTGTATTGTAAGTAATACAGTTTTACAAAGTATATATGATTGCAGTGATAACAAACCCTCTGTTAAATAAATAGACAGGAATTTGGTATAGAGCACAGGATGCTTTCTTGCATTGGTTTTGTTTATATATTTGGGCTGAGGAATACTATAGCCATGTATGCTGCCCAAGTAGTGTAGGTTAGGTGCAGGTCCAATTTCTCTGTTTTATATCAATGTTTATCTATAACACACAATTCACACTGTATATTTATATGTTAATATGCAAGCCATATAAGCATATAGTTTCAATGAATTATGTTTGATAAAGATTAATTTATTTCAATAATCAATAGCTGAGGTTATATACATCTTATTTAACCTTTTTAAATGTCAGTATCTGATCATTTCTTTTTACCAACACAGACAAAATAATCATGATTTAAGAATGGCTAAAGGTGCAAGTTAAAATATCCTATGAAAGTCATGAGGTACATGCTATTAATAACTTATCAGAGTCTCAACAATTAGCAATGAAAATAACAAAACAGAAAGCCATGCAATATCCCAAGGTTAATAGGCTGTTGGCTACATTTATAAGTGGAATTGCCAAGAAACTTACATCACAGAAAATGTCTGCCATAACGTGTATCTGAGCTCTGTTACCACAAAAGCTACATCTGGCTGGAACCACACCTCTATATTGAAAACAAAAGAAACTGCAACACCGTTACCCAATCCACTGATGGAATTGTAGTTTTTCATGTGTAAAAAAATCCACTTCTTGGCATTAATTTTTAAGCTATTTGACCCATTGAAACGGTCTCCAACGCGTTCCACAATCCCCTAGCTCACACAGTAATATAATGAAGCTAGGCCAGGGGTTTCCAACGATAAGTGGGTCAGTAAATACCCATCCTCTCACATATCCTGTGGGCCAGATGGTGCCCATAATTTGTTTCTTTTAACAGATTTTATACTTATACTTATTAACAGATAGGAAAACAGGTAGACATTTAATTTTTGTGAGGCAGATGGTGGGTTTGGGAGTTGGTGATTATGGAGTAATTAACACAGTATTAACACTCTGGTAATACTCAATGCCAGGGCAATGGGTATCATCTTTGTCTGCATTGGATAGAGAGGGTGATCGGTATATTTTTGTTAATCTGTATTGGCACAAGTGGAATAGGCATCCCATGGCAAACTTATCATTATTATCCATCCCAGGACAAGAGGAGTAAAAAGTGGCAGGGGCCGTTTGCCATGCTCTAACCTTATATATTGCTTTTTGGAGGAAGACAGTGGCCATTTTCCAGACCCCCCTAACCCCCTACATTTTTGGGGTCCAGATTAACATTGGGGTCTCATGGAACTGAATCATATATTTTTATTTTTTGTAATCTGCTAGTGTTACAGCAATGATGTTTCTCTGGTTAGGACCACAATTCACTATTTAGGCCCTGTTTTTTCCAAACATTATTTTTATAAGGACCTCAGTATTTATGCTGGTAAAAAACACATGGGGTAAGTGGTGAGTTATCCTCACAACTCAAAAATGAGATTGAGAGGATTTAGCAGCAGGACTGCAGATTGCATTATAAATATTTGATGATGATGTGCCCCCACCTGTCTGTATGAAACACCCAATTAGTATATTCATTTAGAGCCTCAGGCATTCTTAGCAAGGCCTCTATGATATGAGATGCGCCCTTACGGAGTAAGAACTTTAAAGCTGCAGGATTCCAATCCATTTCCATAGCACATCCTTGAAATTCTCTTAGATAATCCTCAGCCAGCCCCATTCCCTGTCTACAGTTACTAAGCATAGCATTTTCAAAAGGGATAACAAGTATCATAAAAGGACTGGCATTTGCTTAAACCGTAATACAAGACTTTCCATTTCTTATAAATAGTGAGTCCATACCATCAATTATTCTTGTAATAAGGAAATGATGATTTAAACCAGTAACCTGTTGGTGACATAAGTAAATGATAACAGCAGAAACACAGGAAACATGGGGATTAACACATTAAAAATGCCAAGGCCAAAAGTTGGCATTTGTGTATTTACTGTATAATTACACTTCTTTACCATTTCATGTTTTATTTTAGCCACTTTGTTCTGTCTGCTTAATATAATCATAATATTCATTTAACGGGGAGTTGCCTCTGATATCTTGCAATATTTTGCAGGTCCCATTATTGGCTCTGCTATTCTGCTAAGGGATTTATAAGTTCTAGAATCTAGACCATGAAATCAAGATGCCAGAGCCCACAAAGTGAACAGAAAAAAACCCATATGTGTAACAAAACCAAGATTTATGGAACGAAAAATGCAGATAGCTTGATAGACAATATGAATAATGACAAGGAGGTTACAGAGTTCAGTAATTATAGATGATTTACAGCTGTGTCGTATGCAGAACTGTAACAGATTGGAATTTCCCCACCTCTAGACAATCAAGAAGTATGCCCTTCCAGAATAACACTTGAATCACAATGACCTGCAGGATTCTAGAACATGTTGGATTACCATGCTAATGTTATCAAATGCAATCAAATGGTGGTAACTGAGGAATACATATATATTTTTACACTATTTACATAGATTGTGTTATGTCTGCTCACAAGAAGATTGATAGATCCAGAATGTAGAGCTGAAACCAAAACAGTAAATACATAATTATTATTGTTCCATACTTATTTAAAATAATAATAAAAACAACAACCGACTTGCAGCCTTCATATACAATTTCTAATGAATCTGGAAAAAATAAATAGAATTACACAACACTTCCTGAGCCTCCATCTTTTTATAGTTAGAACAACGCTCTCATATTTTACAGGTATAACTGCCTTCTTCAAAATGACATACTTTTTGCTTCTATTCAGGGTTCACTAGCTTACTACCAATACATATAAAATAATAGACCTGAAGATTTGTTTCTGTTCGTATTGCAATTTATCAGAATTTGAGCAGATTGGGTAATTCCCTAACTCCAAGCCAAAATGTACCTGAATCACAAATCAACCGAAACCATATATGTCCATTTCAGTTCACGATTCTGAATTTTGTTCATGGTGCCAAAAAAAAGAGATTGATAGGGGGACAGTCACTAAATGTTAATTTTAATAACAGATCAGGTAAGAAGTGAGCAATAGAGTGAAATAATGAAGGCACAGTAATAATTTTTTTTCTATTTTTTTATATGTTACATATTTATGGAAAACCAACCCATTGTCCATCTGGGAAATGACTAAAATCCAACCTTAATGGCAAGTGTCATATTTCTGATAGGCA